GGGGTGACACTCGGACACCGCTCCGGGTGTCACCCAGCCTCGGGGCGCCCCTGCACTGAGCGACACGGATATTGCGCGTTTTTTCCCGCGTGATTTCGGCTATGAGCTTCATTGTGCGATATTGAGCGACGTTGCACATTTTATCATGCTGCGTAGCGCGTTTTTGGGGGCGGGACTTCGTCGCTGATACATTGGGCACGCCGACCAAGTCACGCCATATCGCCGGTAATGCGCGATTTTGCACGACACCATTGAGTCTATTGGAGCCGAATCACTCGCGACATCCGCGGGGAAAAAAGGGTCGTGTACGAGCGACGAGCTACAGGCGACATTGAGCTGTGAGATGTGAACAGCTCCATTGAAATGCATTGGACGAGCTGCATAGAGCGACATTGCGCGGAAACATGCGCAAAAATCACGCGCTGAACCGCTCAGTGTGAACGGGGCCTAAGGGGGGGAAGCAATTTAGAAGCCTTTTGATTGCCCATTTCAAGACAGACATGTACAGCTGATCCTGCCCGAGGTGTCACAGTTACCCAGCAGGTCCAACAATACCGATGTTCAGGGGAGTTGGTAGATGAGCAGCACTGGAATACTCTGCACCGCAGCCAATCAGCTTCTCTCTTTCATTTTCAAATCTTAAAAAGAGAACTATGCGGCGGGGGGTGCTTCTCACTCACCTCATAGTTCTAGCCGACCTGTGACAATGAGACTGTCACAGGTCGGCTCTGTAGATCGGGAGGTGAGCGAACACATACCGGCGCTCGCTCACCTCTCGATCCTGTCACGGCTCTCTGCTGTGACAGGGGAGGGGCTGGATTCCCCCCTCCCCGTTCCCATCCTCCAGCGCTGACTGGCGGAACGGGCAGGGGAGGGGGGCGGGTACAGCTAGATAGGCAGAGCCAGCTGTCAGTCACGCAGGTGGGCGGATCCAGACATAATTGTCGGGATCCGCCTTCAGCTGCGGCGTCTCAGTATACCGCGGGCTGTAGCTCCCTATATACTGATCCTAGGGTGACGGGAGGACGCTAGTTTGTGTCCTCCCGTCACCCTAAGGAGAACTATGGGGAAAAGCCCTGACCCCGTAGTTCTCCTTTAACTGAAGAAACTGAAGAGAGAAGCTGATTGGTTGGCCTACACAGCTGCTCCAAATTTGATGAATTCCCCCCTCTGTCTTTCCTCAAATCACTGGGGGGAACAAAAGTGATTGGGACAGGTTCTCCAGCAAGCAAAGAAGCGCGGGGGGGGGGGGGGGGGGGGGGGTGTGTCCCTTCTCTAAATCATTCAGCTTTCTGTGTAATCTGATTTTCCACGCAAGAGATCTTTTCTGGGTACCAGAATGCTGCTGCTTTAGGGTTACCTGTATGGGGAAAAGACGCTTTCCTTTTGCAGTTGGAAGATTTTTGAAGGCCAACGTGTTGATACTCCGAGTCATGTGACCGATAGAAGGGGCCCTGTGGCTTATACTGCGTATTCCATGACAGGTCCACTTGCTCTGTCTTTTTCTCCTGTATGACTGTTTTGATTTCTCTCTCCAGGAAACGCCATCCAGGCCTTCGGTAACGGCACCGATGTCAAGCTGCACCCCGACCCTCCGGTACACAGCACGACGTCCTCCTCGTCTGTCCTCTCCAAGGCCAAAACTAAAGACTCCAACTACATAGACACCATGCACAACACCAACGAGATCCCAACGCATAACGGCCTGCCGGGCTGCGCCAATCTCATCCAGGTGAGCCAAGACCCACGTGCTGAATGACGTTTATAGATGTAAGAAGGCCCCTCTGGCCAGAGGTCCCCCGTTGCCTTCTTCAGCATGTCCATACTGGCTGCCCACTGCCTAAGGAGGTGCCACTCTAATATTTCCCTCTCCTCTGGGCAAGTTCTGCCTGCATGGAAATGTACTGTGAGCTCTCATTGGTTGGCACAACTGTCAATCAGAGGGCAGAAGGGAATAGTATAATTTCTGATGGTGTGGAGGAGATCAGCATGGGTGGGCTCAGAGCAAATATCTCATGGGTGGGTCCACATAACCTCCAGAAACCCCCAACAGCCCTGGATTCCGGAGGTGTAGTCACTACATAGGCAGAGTTTGAGAGGAAGGGTCCCGTGGCACAGAATACAGGGGGATTTGTGTGGGCATGACGGGCTATACCACT